GGCTGTGTAAAAGGTAAACAGAAGTGATTTCGTATTTATCTTAAGCGGAGCGTTATTTAGAGCTGATTTTAATCAGATTGACAATTACCTGTACACTGATATGCTACATAAAATAAAGTATTAAAACGTTCATTGATATATTGTTCTGTTCACAAAATATAAAGATTATTAAACAAATGATGAAAATCTTGTAACCTATAAAATTTCTCTTTGAAAACTGCACAGTAACAAAACACCCTGTTCTCAAAATTGAAAAACAGAATTCCTCCGTGTAAATGCTACTTTTGTCCACATTTGTTGATCGAGTTAAGCAAAATGGTCATAAAATCTAACATGCAGTTATACAGATAATATTTCATTTGTACAAAGGTGTTTAGTTTCAAAATAAGCCTTTTTTTAACATATTTTTGTAACTTAATATCTCGTTAATGTCGGTCTTTTACATGACTGTTAATAGTTCATATTTTATTTCAACCCAATAAAATCAAGGAAACTATTCAGCTTTACTTTTTAATCTTGACGAACATGTTTGTGATTATTAGAAACCAAAAATAATGGTAAAAGATAGCACGTGTATTTATTGCTAATACACGTGTTTAATATAATTTATTATTTTCATTTTATTTCATTTAATTGACCTATTTTTCGGCGTTGATCAGGTTTTAAATCACATCTGATCTGTAATGGTCATATTGATACTTTCCTAAATTCCTACTGTTGTGTTGGGAAAAACCCACAAGCTTTGTCTTCGTGAATTATCTTAGGCACTTGAGTAGACACATACAACGATAAAAGGAGGGAATCAAAGGCGGCAGTCTTCAACATTGAACCAACGGATCTCGTAGACAGCGTCATTTACATTCGAACTATCATCCACGATAATTCGTTATTCCAGCTGAAATAATTTTATAATGTTATGCACCTGGTCGTCCGCTTGTTAATCCGGACGTCCGTTTTGTATCTTTGAAACCGATACAAGAAAATTAAAACCTACTCGCAGAAATGTTAATTATTATAATGAGACGATCTGCAGAGCGCAGAATTGAGACATAGTGCGTCATTATATGTGAATTTAATACTTTTGTGTCCGCTCTGCGTCATTTCGACAAACGGAAGGGAATTACATCAATTTTGCAGAAACGGCAATCACACGATGTGCAGAGCGCCAGCTTTGGAGTTCCTCAGATCAAAATAGACCAACGACGGTAGTCTTTTTTTTTAAATTTCAATAAAGAGTGATATAGTTAAACGCATGTTAGTGTTATTGCGTGGCACTTAGATGCATAGAGCATAGATATTTGGCATGTAATGTCACTTATAAAAGTCACATATATAAAACCTTGAGGTAAGTATCGATCTGCCCGCCCCATGTCATTTTCATTAGATGTGTATAGGAAATCATATTTAAAACTCCACGCAAAAATAAAGCCAATTAATTTAAACCTGTGCTATAAACATAAAGTTATCCACAGTGTATAAATGATTCTACTTCCTGTCATCTCAAAAATATATAGGCTCCAAAGAAAGGTTAATTGATCGGAAGTATCAGGTGCCTGTAATTGCATCACATGGTACTAGCTGAATTTCGAAAAAGTACGGAAACTTTGTCACTTGATCTATTTTGGATACTGAACATATAAGTCAAGTGATCAACCGTTAATTTCTGATTTGGTTAGGGAACTACGAAGATTTGATACGAAGATTTGAGCAAACTCCCCGCAGCTGTTACTTTCCCTGATCAGTACAGAAACCACTGCCACCACCAGTGAATTCGGTCGTCAGAGAGCCATATATATTTTTTTCACTTTTAATTTTAAAATAGAATACTTTATATAATTTTGGTTTTCTTTCATTCAATTGTTAAGCTTAATGTACAAGAATGTAAAAAAATACGTATGAAAATTATTTTGTAACTAAAGATATTTTCACTATGACACCGTATGTATAGTAAACAATGGCTGAAGTTAGACAGTTATTGAACGATTGCGCAAAAGATTTTGATCCGGCACTTGTTTTAAAATGTAAACAAATTGAGTGTTTTGAACATATTTTATCCGATAAGGATGTAATTGTAAATCTGCCAGTAGGATATGGGATCCTTAGCGTTCTGAAACTGGCCGCCATGTTTTTGTCACATGATACAGCTATCGTCACGTAGGTTTCAGTGGTGACAGTGGTTAAAGTAGCAAAGCGTGACGTAACAGCTGAGGAGTTTGAGAGTTTGAGAGGAGAAACAATTACGCGATCACTCAAAATTTTATTTATGAAATGAACTGAATTGACTTAACGAAACTGCATGTTGAGAAACAATGCAAAAAAGTGAAAACTAACTCACCGATTTTGCGGACACAATATGAAATACAGATTACCCAGTGGTGTTCGCCTTGTGTGCAACCAGTTTTTAGTTCGAGCTTATTTTGTTCTAGTTTTGAAGTACATAATCTAATAAAATAATACGCATTTTGTAATTTCCCGAATACAGCGACGGAGCAATCACACACAAACTAGTTGTTGTATTTGACTCTGGTCTCACTTATTATTTTCTTCTTAAGTAAACTCGGACAGTGAGGTTTACCTATGCAACATTCGATACACAAATTACGATTCATTCCGAAACCTTCCGAAAGATGGACAGTCAGTCACTCGTTTTTCTCGAAAAATCAATAACAGTAGCTCATCGTTGTGAAGCCGAAAATACAGGCCTCACTTACCAGTTAAAGGACGAACTTTATTGAAGTGTTTTTATTTTTTCCTTTATACGCCATATCTTTAAAAATATAATTTGATATGACAAAAAGCCTCTAAAACAGAAATTCTGACAACAGTTCCACGAGTATTAAAATATAAAGTACTTAACTTTCTTGACACTTGTCAATCGCTTGGTTATACATGGTCGGCGTGCACTTTTGTTGAAAGTCATAATCTTTTTATAATAAAGCCAAATCTTATTATTATACTTGCGATCAGGTGTAAAATTAATAAACCAGTTATCATCGCCGATTTTAATTTTAGAAAAAGACGACAATCATTTTTAGGAAACATTTTTAGTTATGTTCGAGCGTATTTTACTCGCTCCTATTTCTGGTCAGATGTTAGCAAATACGATGCGGTATTGGCTATCTGGGGTTCTGAAAGACTGGCATTTTTTGTCAATGACTATAACAATGTTTTGTCAGTAACAAGTAACAAGGGTATCGTGCATCTTTAATTGACTCGTGCCCATTTGTGAAATTATGCCTCCACCTAGAAACAGTTGCATAAAATACTTAATTTTTATCATATATATTACAAATAGCACTATAAAATTTCCATAAATAGAAGAATTAGCGTATTGGCACTTTGATGCTCGCGACAACGAGTCATGCAACAGAACGACAAGAAGCCAACCCTTCGATACATGCAAAGCGACAGGGCGACATTGCGACAACACAATAATGCGTAGTTGGCGAGAAGGCGATAATGATATTTGTTGTGTTGTTGTTGCCAGCGACTACGCAACGCGCAAAAGTGTAACAAATCAGCCACCATACCAATGACATGTAGTAACTTTTTCACAAAGACACGAAAAGCGAAAATACAAAGACACGAAAAGAAACGAAAACATATAAGATTTATAATATATTATAATATAATAATATAATTTTATAATATTTTTTTTATCAAATTTTGCCATACTTTCACACGAAATGTGTATGTTGTTTTGAAAATTAAACGACTAGCCGTAAATCAGCCACCACAACAAAAAAGGCATTAAACGCATTTGATTTTTCCAGAATTTGAATAGCATAATACTTTAAGGTGTTTCCATTAAATCATTAAATGAGCTTTGACACAATATCTTAAATAAACAACAAAAACTGTTTTATATGCTGGCTGATTTGAAACACTTTTGTCCGTCGTGTTGTCGCTAGCAACAGCACAACAAAGTGCCAATCGGCGCGTTGTCGCACTGTCGCATTGTCGCCCACGATGCACACCAAATGGTTCGTTGTCGTGCGGCTTGTTCTCGCAATGTCACAATGTCGGTCGGCTCAATTAGAAGGATTGGCTTTTTACATATATATATATATATATATATAAGCCATGCGACAGGGTGACATCGTGACAACGCGCCGATCGACACCGCGCCATTTGGTATACTTCGCTAGCGACAAGACGACAGTGCGACAAGGCGCCGTTTGGTTCGTTTCTTTAGCGACAAGACGAAAGGCGATAAATATTGTGGCTGATTTGGTACATTGCGCGTTGCGTTGCCGATAGCGACAACGCAATCTATATCGTTATGCCTTTTTGTCTTGTTGCTAGTGACAACACGATTAAGCGCAAACCGGTTGCTTGTCGGGCTGTCGTCTTGTAGACCTGTCTCTAGCGTAGCACGCCAAACGGCGCGTTGTCACGATGTCGCACTGTCGCTTGGCATATAAGCCAATACTTTGATTTGAACCGAGCGACAATGTGACATCGCAACAACACGCCGCACGAACACGCGCCGTTTGGCGTACATTGTTAGCGACAGGACGACAAGACGAAAGTCCGACAACGCGCCGTTTGGCGCTTTGTCATGTTGTCGCTAACGCCAACACGACGCACAAAAGCTTCCAAATCAGCCACCATAGATAACGATATAAGTTGTCGACAACGCAACGCGCAAAGTGTACCAGATCAGCCACCATAGTTTTTTTTATAATACCTCATTTAAATTTTATTACAAATGAAACAATGACTTGTTATAACTTCCTGTTAGATAATAGTTTTATTTTGAAATTGGTAATAAAAGCGGGTGCGATTTAAAGTGTCAGTTTTTGAGTGTATTTTAACTATAATAAAAACACTGATTATGGTTCTATACAAACACTTGTAATGTGCGGTAACTATTACTGTGTTTTACTTGCTGTAACAAAAGCGACCCCCAAACAGCAATTTATGACTTAAAAGATGAAAATGTTCCAAAATTGTCATTTTATTTGCTTCATAAATCTTGTACTTTACGTCATAAAATGACGCACATTCAAGCAAGAAAGAGACTTAAATACGAAATCAAACATGTATAGCCTTACTTGTTCATATGAAGAGACGCACTTGATCATCTTAATTCTTTTTGCATAAAACATAATATTTTTTGTTAATTTATTCGGATGCTATTTTAGAAATATAATAAGATATAGCTCGTGGTTATACCTTCTCTGCCTGCACTTACTAGAACCAATGGAAAATCAGGACAGCAGTGCGTCACCTTCTGACTTTCAGAATGTCATAAGGGAGATAAACAGTACGGATGACGTCGGCATGGAGCTCGAACCACCAGAGGACGGATCTACACTACAACAACCACCAAACGGTGGACGCCGAGCCTGGCGGATAGTTATGTCATGTTTATGTATTAATGGATTAATAGTTGTTCTTCGTGTTATGATATATAACAGTCTGACGGCTATGTCCATCTATAATCATGTACCTGGAGGAACGCTAAATGAAATCGGAAATGAATATCCTGCGCTCGTCCCAGTGTATAGTAAGTTTAAGATATAGAAATGTTTATTCTTCAATTTACACAAAAAAATCACCATCGTTCAATTAGATCTACTTAAGACAATTTCAGTTTTGTTGTTGTTGTTGTTGTTTTTTTGTAGACTAGCACTGAGATCAAATCTATAATCTGTAATTGATTTGAATTTGCATATTTCAGGTCCTCTTGCGGCATATGTAATGATTTCGCGTGGCTATCGGAAGACTGTCTGTATTGGCGCTGGCATTGTCATGGTAACAATGATCATCTTGTCATTACTGGAAGGAAACGCAGGGTTGATAAAATTTTTGATGTATGGACCCATTGGTAAGCAATGGAATACTCTATATTCTACACCTTATTGAAATAATTATCAACTTCGTTAAGAGTAACAATTAAAAATAAAGTGGTTAAGAAGAGTTATATAATAGGGAGCTAAAACTTGCTATATAATAGGGAGCTAAAACTTGCTTATGGCAGCTTGGAGGGCCTCAAGACCTGCCAACATTCTTTTGATGTACTGAGTGACAAATACTGTAAGCTAAGTCAAAACTGTTGAAATAATAACTTTTATTGATAACAAAGATCCAACATTGCTTTATATCCTCAAATACGTTTTAGCTTTGTTATCCAAGTTGGGGCTGTGGTAGATTTTTGATACATCCCTAGGTGATTTGACTTCAAAGGACTGTTGTTTAATGTAAACAGGTATTCCAAAATATCTCAGCCTTTGGGCTGGAAATGGGTGTTTATTATCATTTCTGTCACTGCCTCTATCAGCAATTTGTTTAATTATTCTTATCTGTCTCATATCAGCATGTGGAGCTAATTTGTTGTCTTCTTCTGAACTTGCAAACATTATTTGAATTTCGGAGTCTGACATTTTTTGTTTTGTTCCTTGCTGTTAATTTACTTTTGCGTAGTTTTATTCCTTTTTGGTATTAAATGATATCATTCAAGTTCAAGGTCACTTCCAGGAAAATGTAAACAGTTCTTTTAATCCTCTGATTCTGACACCAATTGTAAGCTAAGTCAAAACTGTTGAAATAATAACTTTTATTGATAACAAAGATCCAACATTGTTTTATTCAACTCTGAAGAGCACGAGATTTTCATAACAAATAATAGACAGTTGACTGTATAAAATAAGAGAATTACCAATTTTCTAAGTTGTCACTAGTTTTCACGACTGTCAGGATTTGAAGCCAAAATGAAGAGTGAAGACAGCCTGGCATGGCTACTTATATAGACTCTGAACTTGCCAGGGCTGTCAAAATTGACCAATCATAATGTCCCAATTGTCCTGGCAGACTGGCAGGAAAGACAGGAATTTTTTAAATGGCGGCCATCTTGACAGGAATAATTTAGAAAAATGTAAATTTACATGGTAAACAAATAACAAAATATGCAATGAACACTTGAATTACATCCTTAACTCAATGTACTAAAAATCTGGATCAAAAATAATAATAGTTCAAGCTTAGGAAAAATGAACTGTTGATATAAAAGATTCTAGTGCCAGGAATTTGAATGTTCCCTCCTGACAAACTTAGAGGTCATACTGGTCATCAAGATTATTATGAAATACAGCAATACCAGCTAAATATTTGGAAATTAACTTAAGTCTTAGGTAAATAAAGATTACATTCTTTGTTCTTACATGTAAAATGGTAAGTACTTGTATATGTTAATGAAAATATAAGCATTTAAAGTTTTGAATCAAGGTAGACAACTCTTGTCGGCCATTTTGATGCCAGGATAAACAAAGTAAGTAAATAAATCATGTCTTGAAGTATAAACCTCCTTATAGTGCCTTATATAGTCATAGAGTCTCAGAATGTCCTATATCACTCTTAATTCCTTCCTTTACCAGAAAATTATCTTAACAAATAAAATCAGCAAATATGAATGGCTGAGGCAAGTTCAGGAATCCTGACAGGTAAGTTTTTAAGCATTGACTGAACAGTATTACCTCACTTGTCAATAAATTATGCTAGTTTGGTGTTCAAATGGTCATAAATCATAGTTTTTTTTAAACTGATATATTCATTACAAGGTCCTGAAAGTAAATTATTTGATAAATATTCACTGTCCCTTACAATACTATAGAAAGAACCGCCAATTAATAAGTGTCTATATAAAAACCTAGTTACACAGCAAGTTCTTATTACAAATATATGCATAATTATTTTCTAATACTGCAAATGAAGACTTTACAGAAGCGTCCTAGTGCCAAATCATAATGTTTTATATATATTTATATATATATATATATATATATATATATATATATATATATATATATATATATATATATATATATATATATATATATATATATATATATATAAAGAGAATAATCGTACGCAAGAACTTATTAGTCCAAAACAGGATTTATTTACTCCGTCATTTACTTAGTCTCTTGGTTAATGTTTACATGTAAGTTTTACATATCTCAATAACAATCAGACATTTTGATTTGAAACTTCACATATGCATGAAGGGTTATAATTGTATGTCACTGACCAAGTTCCATAACTCTATCTTGCATTTAGACTGATTTATTTCCCCTTTTCTACTTAGTCCCTTTGTTAATGTTTACATGAAAGTTTAACATATCTCAATAACTATTAAAGATATTTATTTAAAACTTCACATATGCATTTAGGGTCACAATTGTAGGACACTGACCAAAATCTTTAATTCTATCTTGCATTTAGGCTAGTTTTTCTCTCCTTTTTTCAACTTAGAAATTCATGGTAAAGTTTTGCTTGTAAGTTATTAACTCTATAACTACTGAAGGGTTTGTGCCTTTTTTGGGACAATTTAATGCATTCATAATAATAAAGCAGTGATTTACTTGATAAAACATCTTAATAATAAGCCTTTGTACCTTTTCGGTCAATTTTATATATTCATAGGTAAGCATTATTATACTCTATAAAACACCCTTGTGACAACTTTTTCGAAAAGTCGAGCCTTACTGTCCTCCGACAGTTATTGTTTTATATCCTACTTAGGAGTAATAATTTCCTACTGAGTTATCAACTCCTAACAAAGTAAAAATTCTTTATTAGGCTTTACATCTCCGAAGATGTACGTAATCGTTCAATGTCCTTTGTTTTTGAACATGCCCAACAGCACTTGAATAACTGAGAACTTAGTCAAAAAGCTAACAACGCAATGTCATGGGTAATTTCATATTTAATAATGTTCATTAATAAACAGACATTCCCTTTAAACCTTTGCCATTTATTCATTGAATATCGAATATTATAGACCCGTTGTAATTAAAAACTACGCCTAGATATTTGATTTTGTCAGAAGTTACTATTTGAATATCATTACAATATCAACTTATCTCTTTAAGGTATTTTTATCCTGATAAGTATTCACCTCTAAACCCTATGCCACTTTCTATTCATATAAATTGTTCAATATTCGTGCTAGCTTGTAAAGCCCTCGGAGTTTTAGCTAGAATGGCCATATCGTCTGCAAAGGCCAAATGATTAAACACAAATCAAATAATGAAATACCTGTTTTAATGTTTTCTTGAAGAAAAAGTTTAATATCTTCTTAAAGTAGAGAAAATAATTATTAAGCCAAGCAAAATAGCGAAAAATTCTGCAAAAGTAATCGCCATATGAGCACATCTGCGGATCTTTCTAAATTCAAAATTTCACCATTTCCGTGTTCAAATGTTGATTTCTGCTTCAGCCGGTGTTACGGGGTGTGGACGGTAACCTTCACTTTCAAATACCGTCTATAAACAGGCTCAATCAAACCGAGCCTGCAATATTTTCAATTTTGACGTTGTGTGCGTTCTTTAGGGATTCTTATTTTTCCTCTAATTTAAATTGTTTTACACATGACTTCACAGTAGCGTACATTGCTTTAAATAATCTAAGTATATTTCTATCTAAACCAACCTTACAGAGCTTAGACCATAAATCAATCCTTAACACAGAGTCAAAGGCCTTCTTAAGGTCTTTAAAAGCCCAATAAAGGCGTAAATTGTGTGATAAAACTATTTAATTTAAAACGTAAATCGCGTCGACTGTGCTTGCACCTTAAAGGGACTCCACTGAGGTATTTTGACATGACAGGACTGGAAATATTTTTTTGAGATTATTACTCAATTTGATGTAGATCTATACTAATAACTTATGAGCAAAATTTCAGATCATAAACTCGCTCCATTTTTCCATAATGATTATTATATTAGTGAAAAATGACCCAAAACTGGAAAGCGTTTAAACGTTTTTCACTTAAATCGGACAGAGAATAGCACAAACATACCATTTTCAACGTATTTCCCGTATATTTCTTAGTTATATTTTATTTATATTTCTGTTTTAAGTGGTCGTGTGGATCTATGTGAAAAAATTAAAATTTTATGTTTTAGGCTTATTAACCTCAGTGGAGTCCAATTAACGAAAACCGACCAGAGCATCCGACGATATTTTAAAATGACTACACTTTTTTGTTAAAAATATTTGTAAACACTTTTCCGAAGCTAATATTAAGCGTTGTATATTGTACCAAAAGCATAATCATCAATTATTGGTCATTTACCATTATAATCTTTTAAAATAGATAACAAATTAAAATCAATTTGACAGCGGAAAAATGAACATGATATAACTTACAATGAAACAATAATCTATAACACTATTGTTTAATTGTGGGATTGTTTTTTTGTTTGCTTTTTTTTTCTTTGTTTTTTTTTGTTTGTTTTTTTTTTTGTTTTTTTTTGTAAAGAATTTTCATTTTGTTTCAATTCTTGAGATACATTTATTTGAAAAAAATTGTATTCTCTTATTTTTTTCATGATTGTATGGAATTTTATTTTTCAGCAATTGGGATCAGCTTTATAGAGTTTGGCGGGTTGATTCCGGTTTTGGAATATTTTACAACGAAAAGAATGGCGGCTTTATTTCTTTCGAGATTAGGTCCGTTTATTGCAGCTATAATCCTTACTATCATTTCCATATTTGAGCCAGGAATATTCACAGCCAGCTGGAGGGACGTCTTAAGGTAAACTATTTCAACATTGAAATCTTTGAATCTTTGAGATTCATGAGACAAATGGAACCTCAAATGTCTACCAAAAACAACTCATTTGTGTGACAATTGAGCTCCGATCAAATTTTTAAGGGACAATAAATCACATTTTCTCATGTTTTTATAGGCACAAGAAAGCACATTTGTCTCATGTCATTTTTTATGAATTATTTGACGGCAGTTTATTTTTTTAGAATCGAGGTTCGCCTTTTTACCATCATCATGGGGTTTGCTACTGTTTTTTTAAATGAAATCTTAACCTAAAACCCATTAATTCTAATATTTCTAATTCAAGAAATTTAATTGGCTGAACCTGAAGGCGTACACTAAGAAATACGAAATCCCATTCATGATGTTACAATGGTGAAAGCGCGTGGACACGATGGTATGATGATAAAACCACGATGGTCTGATGGTGAAAACAAGACGGTACGAACGTGAAACAACGTGTGTACGATGGTGAAACAACGATGGTACGATTGTGAAACAACGAAGGCACGATGCTGAAAATGTGATAATATGATGGTGAAAACGCGATAACCTTTTCATTATCGTGTCATTGCATCATCGCGATTTTACCATCGTGTCATCGTTGTTTTATCATCGTGCTATCGTGTTTTCATCATCGTATCATCGTGCTATCACGCGTTTACCATTGTATCATCGTGCAGAGCGTTTCAAGGAGACAAAAATGTTACTTATACCGTAATCGGGCGATATTTGAACGATATAATATCGCGACTCGTTTCGCATCTCGCCTGAATCTTGCGTCTCGCCTCGCATCTTGTATATAAGTAAATAGTATTCCCTTTATATTTTATATAAAACTGACATTTTTTCAAAGAAATGCAAACCCATTTTAGAGAGCAAAAACTTATCTCATTTTAATTATGATAAAACTGATATAAAATGATAAGAAAAGTAGAGGCCATGTATCTCCTGAGAAAAATTTCTAGCGTCACACTTGTTACTGTAGAATCACTTAAAAATCATACTGCTGTGACGTGGAAGCACCACCAGTACTGAAATTGAAATTCACTTTATTAAATACAATAACATAACAAGAATAAAGATCAACAAGGCAAAGGCAACGTTCACAGGACGCCGCCCCCGGACACACCCACGCAGGACACCAAGAAGGCACCAAACAAGTACCTGGAGTGGACACAAGGGCGAAAGGAGCGGGACATGTTATGTGAAATAATATACTAGTAAACAAAAACAGGCCCATAAGGGAATTAAAGGGAAAAGGGCTGTACGGGTGAAAAGGTGGGGAGGGTTAAAATGGAAGGGGTGGGGGGGGGGAGAAAATACCTACCGTCAACGACAATCCAACAAGACAGACATCTCAAAACATGTAAACATCCAAAACAAGTAACAATACAGACATGAAAAACACGTGAAGGAACACAGAGGGGTACCGCCTTGGAACGGTCAGTGGAAGTTAAACCACTGGGAAGTTTAAACCGGTTTTAGGCGCGCCAAACTTCACTCTTAGCCCCAATATGTTCCTGTATTAAATGAAAATGTAAATAAAATTAATCCCCGCCAAGTGAAATTCTAACAATGGTCATGGTTACATTAGACGAAATGAAATAAAACACATAAAAATTATGTAAATATGTAGAAAAAGTTACTGCCTAATGACCATTACCAAAGTACTCGATGCCTTAAAGGAAGGCAAAGCAACAAGAAAATCACCTACAATGGCCCGACGAAGCAAGGCAGAAGACGAACATTAAGACAATTCAGTCCCCAAAGGGCTTTAAGAACTGTCCATCATAGAGTCTCCCACTTGGTCCGTCAGATGTAATCAAAAGAGGAAAGCGTAGCGTCCAACTGTAAAAGGGTTGAACACCAAGCATGCGGTATGCCTTAAAACAATTGGGTCATAACCTCTTTTAATAAACCGTTTGATAATGTTAGTGAAGACGGCAGAAAAATTACTATGACCCATGATCCTACGAAGTTTGTAAACCACATCTCCATAGAAGTCAGGGTTGGTAATGACTTGTCGTAAAAGAGTTTTTAAATTACAATTAAATTTTAAAACTAAGTCTGAATTACGATGGTAAAACTTAGTAAAATATTTACGCAATTTATGATAGCGATAACCTTGTTTAAGAAGTTTGTTAGTAATAAATAAATTGCGTTCATTAAAATCATCAACACGACTGCAAGCCCTAGCAAATCTAATTAATTGAGAAATATACACCCCATATGATGTAGCATGAGGTACATCTCTATCTAAATGTGGGTAGTTAACAATATTAAAATCAAAATCATCTCTTTTATCGTAGATTTTAGTTACTATAGTATTGTTAATGATAGAAATGTTTAAATCTAAAAAAGATGTAATAACGTCTGAAGAGTTAGTTTTATTCAATTTAAGTTCACTGGGATATATTTTAGAAACCAATTGATCGAAATAAGGATTATTCTTGTTAAAAATATCATCTAGGTAGCGGGAAGTGTTGTTAAATGCAAGTATCATTTCCTGATGCGAAGTAGGGGAAAGACTTAAAATAAAATCCCTCTCATAACAATAAAGAAATAAATCAGCTATCAGGGGGGCACAATTAGTTCCCATTGGAATGCCTATTACCTGTTTGAAAACTGTATTACCAAAAAAGATAAATACAGAATCCCTAAAGAAAGCCCAACACGGCAAAATTGAAAATGTTGCAGGCTCGGTTTGATTGACAAAAATGTTATCTAATAAAAAAGAAAGTGCTTTACAAACTTCGTCACAGGTCCACATTGTATATTGTTTAATGGTAGCATTGGTAAAGAAAGCCTTCTTTGAATTGCAAGCAAGAAACGTGACCTGTTCTCTTGCAAATGTTTTTTGAATTAAAGATACTAATTTATCATTTATAAGATTATGCGGCAATGTTGTATATAAGGTAGAGAAATCGTAAGTACTTACAGATGAAGCTTGATAATTCTTAACTTTAAACTTATCTAAACTTTCAGTTGAATTTTTAATAGACCAAAACAGATTTTGCCCGTATTTTCATAAACAGTTTCACAGTATCTAATTACATGTGTCTTGATGGCAGTAAGACAAGAAGTCAATAAATTAGAAAGATTACTGGTAGTACATGATAAAGAATTAGCAATAAAGCGGGATTTATATGGATGTTTATGTAACTTTGGAATCCAGTACATGATAGGAAGTTTAAGCTCTTTCTCATCAACACGTACTTTAAAGTTAGAAATACTACAAATATGACTGTTCACAATATCTCTTTCAGAAGGAACGGTTTTAGAATAAGTATTGGTGCTGTTAAGTTCATTTTGTAAAACATTTATATAATGAATACGTCATACAATGATTATGTTATTGGCCGCCTTGTCTGCCAGAACCAAAACAAATTTAGAGTGGAACGCTAATATATCCTTTCTGAGATGCCGTAAAGTAAGTCTAGGTTTAGGTGGAAAAAGATGTTCATTACCACGGTAAAATTCGATGCGTGAGTCAATAATATTAAATATATTATGTTTCCATGAATTAAGTGCATTACTCTCAGCATTTTCGCGACGACACCATTTTACTGAAAAGTCCTCGATTGATTCAGCTATCTGACTTCGACAACCCTTATTCTACCAAAAGTTAAATGTCCAAAATGTCAAAAACATATCCATGATGAAATTTAAACAGAAATCAGATGAAAACATAGTGCCCAATAACCTGTGTACCTGGCTCCCATGCTAGTTCCTTTACCATAGTCAGGCCTTTGAGAAGCACAAACACGAAGCGATGCGCGATATTTTACCGACAGACACGAAAAGTCTAATTCCGACAAAACATGAAGCGAGGTACTACATGTACCCTGTAACCTCAGGGTACGGTATACCTCCATTGCGAGATATCGTGTTACAATATCCTACCTCGTTTTGTGTCTCGTCGGAATGTCGCGTCTCATCCGATTCTACGAGGCCCGATATTCCATAACCATGGCATTACCCGGATTATGTTAGGAATTCGTAAGTGTTTTTGTGCGGATCTGAAAGCAGCATTTCTCGGAAAAAAGACTATGATGAAAACAAAACGTGTGGGATGGTCTTTTCATTTTCTTCCTAAGATCATTTAGGTGTCTCCGTGGCCGAGAGATTAAAAAAAAACACTTGTCCCTATCCCCCCCGTTCACACATAGACGCCGCTTCTACTACGATCAAAGAGTGGCCGAAAACGTGGCCGATCGTTGCAAATCGCAGAAGAAACGTAGTGGAGTTTACATAAGCGCAGTATGATCGTGGTAGCGTCTTCATGATCGGAAAGCTCTACGTTCTTGCCACGAACGTGCTCAAAACATGCGTAGCGGGATTGCGGCCAACAAGAATCGGGGTAAAGCCGTAAAAGAGCGAGGAAGAAGCGCCGTAATCGTACAAGCAGCGTGGAAGCATCGTGGATAGTTCTTCATGATCGTAGTAAAGCGTAGTAAAAGAGTCGTACCTTCAGGAACATACCGAGTACGCTTCTACAACGTTCCTTCTATGTTCTTACTACGTTCCCACTATGATCTCTCTACGTTCATGACCATCCTACGAAGACCTACCATGACCTTACGACGATCATACCACGACCTGTCAGGTAGCAGTTTGTTTTTATAGCGCTGCTATTTGACCAATCATAGTATATATGGCGGCACTTTACTTGACGATCATTTGCAGCTGAGACTTCAAACATTGCACATTTTGCAACAGTTTAAAAAAAATTAAAATGCCCCCTAAACCACTTGGTAAAGGCCGTGAAAAACTGTGGTTGCAAACTCTGAGACTCAAGAACTTGAAAAGCCTACAGCAGAAAATCCCGAGGCCGGGAACGAACATGACGGGCCTTCGTCTGTGGAAGCTGAAGCCCTTCCATCCACGGAAGATCAGCATTAATACGTCCGTTCATGTTTGAAATTTGGAAGTAAATGAAAAATAATTTTTGAAACCCAATATATATATATACATGTATATCATCGCCATAAGCGTACGATAAGCGTGATATGATCGGCACCGTCGTAGCGATATCGTCGTACAGTCTTCTAGGTCTGCGTAGCGTCGTAGTGCGAGCTTGAATGTCGTAGCGGCAGCGTAGTATAAACGCAGTCAACGCGGTCGCCGGTCGGCATCGGTCAGCGTTACATCGTAGTAGAAGCGTGTCAGCAGCGCGTTGGACGTGGGAACATCGTAGTTCAGTCGTAATGAAGACAAAAATTTGACGAATTGATTGATTTCGACGCCGATCGGCTCCGATCGGCACCGATCCAATAATTTTAGAAGATCGTGGCTTGATCGGCATGATCGTCCTAAAGTCTCAGCTCTGTGTGAACCGGTGCAAAACTACCACTGTGGGTTCCATACTCAATCGGGGCGTCCAGGGTTCAAATGCGGAATACCTATCCGCGTGTGCACATAATAGTTATCGCGTGCGCACGCAATAGCTATCCACTCAGAACGTAATATCTATCGCGTGTGCACGTACTAGTATCGCGAGGCCACGTAATATATATAACGCGTGCGCACGTAATAAATACAAAAATCCTATGACCCCTTTATTCCACCGTAGACACTACCTTTTTGATTCTTAGAATATTTCTTAAATCATTTATAAAAATTTGAGCATCGGAAAGAAACGTGTCACAATTAATAATGATAAGAATAGACTCGCTGCATATGTGTTTGTGCATTGGAATCTGATCTGGTATATTCTTCAAGTTAATATATGACTCCTATGCAGAGGCAGGAAGTTTTTGATTGACCGAAGAACGGTATACAGAAAACAGAAAACAATGGCTGGTAGCCGGTATACGGACGGGCATAATCATTACTTTCTTAGAATTTCATGGAAGATGAGAGACAAATGTGCTTCGAATGTCCTTTCTATTGTGTGTCGAACACATCTGTGCCATTTCCAACATGTCGCAGATATGAATGCTTACAAGGACATCGGTCACACCTCGCGAGACAAATGTCCTCCAAGACAAATGTGCTCCTACAAAACAGGTCAAATAAAATTGGTATTTTCTTTTTAAAAAAGGCCATTTTGAATGGCACTATTATATATTTATATTGCGTCCACTTACAGTGTGTAGAATTTTAAACATAACCATATCTTTATACATTCTTTATACATTTCCATAGTTTCACAAATCCAATCTAACCAACTTACCGTCGTTTTTATTTACCAAGTCAAAACAAAATCCATATCAAATCACCTGTGTATCCCATCTAGCCTCGTTATCATTTTCCCATTTAAAACAAATCAAATCACTACTGTACTACGTCTAGCCTCGTTTTGAATTCAGAGTCTCAACATCCTAACAAACCTTTATTGCACAAAAAAGTGATGTCAAAATAATAAGAAAAAAAGCGTTGTAAAAATGAAAGAGGTCACTGTACATTGTTAGGTACAATTTTGTTCTATTAGATTCGTTCGCAGCTGCATGACCCGCCTTGCGCCTCTAGGTACATAAGATGAACAGCTGTATGTACTCCTCCAAAAGAATTCAGTACTGTACTAAACAAAGTGCAAGTAAAATGGTTTCCTGCGGGGAACATTTTTAATGATATAAAGATATTTCATTTAACTATTTTCAACATTGTTTGGGGGGATAAATAAACGTTTGTATCAGGAATACAGTTGACAATAATCGATCAATATAGAAGAAGATCTTTGGAAACTGGTGACCGTTAAAGACCTGAGACCGGAGAAGGTCGAACATAAAACAATTATTTCTTTTTAAGAAAATGATTAAATACCATTTTCTGAATAATTCCGGGCAAAAAAAATAAAGTAAACACACAAGTTTATGCAGAAAATATCTCTATTTAGTATGGCAGATGCCACTAATATTTTAATTTTGTAGATTTTCAGTATAAACAATTTATTGTTTGTAAAATTTGAGATAGATATTAAAGGAACATTGATAATTTTCAAACACATCATTCAAGTTTTTCCACCTTAAACGGTAAAATAATTATAGAAAATTAGAAATATCACGTAATAGTTTTTGTTGTTAATCAGGTGTAATTCGGACTAATTTCCGAGAGGTAAATCCGTAACATACCGGCAAAAAGTATTTAGCTAGGTTTTCGAAAAGGTCAATTAACCAATCATGTACGGTTTACAGATCACATGCTCCTCCATGTACCGAAAACAGGTCACGTGCTCCTCTATGCCTCAAAAGTTAAACGCGTACTAATACCCTGCGGTCTTCAGACCGCAGGGAATAATAGCCTCATATTATTTAACGCTCGTAAATTTTACAGTTACAGTTGATATTAAATATAATTTTAAAACCAATCATAATTTTAGATACTAAAACATGTGTATGAATAAGTAAATCACACACTTTTTATCTTCTTTATTTCATTACACACGTATATGTTTAAATTCTATTTTTTTTTTTTCAAAATGACGTGCAGGGGTCCTTCGGGGATATGTGTTGGTATATGGCTATTTGGTATGACCCTTAAAGAGCTCAAACTCGCAATGAGAGATGACGAGTCAGCAACATTTGTACAGAGAACCTTTGGTGTTTTTAATAAGAGCATTTTCAAAAATGTGCTGTTTTGGTCCACCTGTATTGTATACTTCTTCTACCAATGGGGTAAATTAATTAATTTATTACGAGTATTCGTTTTCTTTTTAAACATTAATTAATGAGTTAGTTATTGAAGAGTTCGCAAGTATTAGTTTTGTTATAATTCCTTTATTGTGCTTTTACATCTAGATTTTATTTTATTATTTTTGAAAACAAAAGTGGTTACTTTTCAAATTGGTGATATTTTCAACATTTCACATGAATTATTAACGTTCAATAAATTTCAGGTATCGAAACACCCAAAGAGGAATTAAAAAGATTTGTTGGTATGGGTGATAGCCTTCCTAAATTACTTACTTATGCATTTAGTGCTCCTTTCGGTCTGATACTTGGAAAATTTTTGGCATGGATATTCAACAAAATGGCCTTTAATAAGAAAAGTGGGTGAGTGTTACATAAACGGTTATTGAATGCGGTAAAAATATTTGTAAACATTTCATAAATTGGCATTCGATAATAGAGCAATCACTCTAGATTAATACATCTAAAATGAAGGTATTTTTGTTTCATAGCATACCGGTAGTGATTTTTCAAATTCAAGGAAACAATTATTGCATTTGAAACATTACCATGCAAAAACATTTCAAGTTAACATATAATGACTCTTATTTCAAATTATCATGTAAAGAAATAAAGACTTACTAACTTGTATTATTATTTGAATCATTTCAGGTGGTTTCTGCAAAACTTAGAAGGTAGACGACTTACTATCATATTTGGTGTCTTGGCGGCATCAACTGTTGTTTCAAGCATTGGATGTTTTATTGCTCCAAGTGTATTAAACTTCGGCTATTTTACAACATTTAGTCTACTTTTTTCAACATTTCATGGTAAATCGTTTTAAATATCACGACAATCGATGACTGTTAAAGATAAACAAAACGTCATCATTTCAAATTATATTAATCAAATTTGATGACACTACATGTGAAATGATATCGACATTATTAATGAGCTGACCCAGAATTTTTGTTCAGTTTTTGAATCGAGTATAAATGACCTAGCTTAGTTACTTGACGTACATTTTTATTTTATACTTTCCTGTTTGCCTTCCTATAACACTTGTCTACAAAATAATAGAACTTCATAAATAGTGGATATTTGTTTGGTTTGTTTGTGTTAAAGATGAAATTTCATTTCATTGAGCGAGCTTTAAAAGCAGTTTTTACTGTTTTTTAAAGTTCATGAGATGAAATAAAATTACATCTTACACAACAAACAAACAAATATTCCTTTAATTTTTTTATGAATGAAATCAACTTGAAATGAAATTTCCTCAATATTAACCTAATAGACTCGTTTCTGTATTGTGAGGATGTGTTTTAATTACACAAGATACATGAAAACTAAGTTTATAACTGGTGTTATTTCTTTATATCATTTAAATTTTTGATACAAAAGAATATCATCCATTTGATCATTCAATTTTATAACTAAATGTACATGATTGTTGAAACAATATAATTTATCTGGTAACTATGACTAAATATTGTAAAATAACAACTGTTGATTAGAAATGTTTTTTGTTAACTTTGTTTCACTACTAATTCACGCGGTTCAAACTTCTGAATATGTTGTTACTTTTATTTTTCATATCAAGGATTCTGTGAAGCTGTCAGAGACAATTTAGTTCCCGAAGTTTTTGGGAGGGAAAATACAAAAGTTGTTGAAGGATTCATACTCATGTTGGCTGGCATTGGTGCGATTATAAACCGTGAAATTATAGGTGATATTTTCATATTGACCATGTAGAAGATCGGTAAACCTTGTATGGGGTTTAGGACCGTAACATATGTTGCCCAAGTCATTGATTTTCGTGAACAGATGGGATCAAATCGTGCCTTTCATCTTATGGCTTTAATTGATTGTTTTTAAATATATCTCCATTTCAAATGTTAAAAACATTTTACAAATGATGTATATACTGCTTATAATTTGCATTTGTGTTTTATAGTTTATGTTTCCAATTTTAGGAACAATACCAATGCTATATATTTTCGTATTTCAGAAGTAATACACAACGATTATGACTGGAAGACAGTATATCGATATGGAGGCGGTATGTTGATGTTATCGTCTGTTGTTACGATTGTGGTCGTCGTTGTAGACAGATTAAAAGCGCGCCAAAATTCATGGAATTCGAGAATGTGAGAAACAACCAAGAGCACGCTGCTACGTCTGGTGTACAAAGGTTTTGAACAATAATACCTCTTCACCAACTGTCGAACCGAACTTATTTTCATTGAATTCAAGTTTTTTATTTAAGCAGGAAAACAAAACAAAAATTGGATGTTAAATGTTGAATTAATTTGGAGATAATTTTTTTTATTGAGTTTGATTTTAAGCTCAGTCAGTGTCTATACTGTTCCTCGGTGTCTATTTTATATGCTGTACTTCATCACAAATGTAGCTTTTTTAAATAAACTTAAATGTGTTTTTATTTTGTAAATTGCGTTTCTTATGTCAGATGACAATAAACATTAAAAAATGAAAAAAAAACACTCATTCAAAATCCATAACTGGCACAGACAGATTAGGAACCATACAGGCTAATATACATTCGTGTTCATTTCGTTAGCTTTCTGTCAACAGGCAAAAATAAAAAAAGTCATACTGTGTAAACTATTCGGATACCTACGTGTTTTTTTCATAATGATAAATTACATGCATAACTCTGAGTTAGAAAATCGAGTTTTAGAATAGTGGTTCATGGACACATATCACAATAACTGGAGATTGTATGTAAATAGATTACAAGAAAAGCATTGATGCAAAGCATCAAAAGGCGTCCAAGCAAGAAATGCAGAAAGTGAAGATGAACTAGTAGACATATGATGACAAGATATTCTTATAAACTTTTCAATGGTTAATTGGTTTTTACCAGAATGAACGGACGAAAGACATTGTTCATTATGAACTTTGATTGGCATGCTAGAGATTAGAATATTAATTGTTATTTCTTTTTGATCGTGATTATTAATAGCAACGGATATACATGTATACAATCATTTATAATCCATATGTGTAACGCATGATCAACACCACCCTTGTGGAATTGTCTCTTAATTATGTTATCGCTATTAGCGAAGACCCCCTCTTAAGGTATCTGTTCACACTTAGTAAAAATATGACACTGGTTATATTACCATGTTGATCATGTTGAGCATAATTTTTTTTTATACAATAATTGTAATATCTATTTTAATATAAAAAAAATACAGATTTTATGAATATTGTTTTCCTCTCTTTTTTCGTGTTTTATGTGCTATTTTAATACTGAGTTTACGTTTACTACTCTTTTTTTTTAATTAAAATTGTAAAATAAATTTTAAGGATTCAATTGTCATATTGACCGACGATTATAAGTCAAAACTTAACTGGAAAAAGTCAGTAAATTATGCTTAACCTTTCAATATATAATATTGCTTATTCTTAAACCATGTACACTTTTTTAAACTATCAATCAATTGAATAATTCATAAAATCTAATTTGTAACTTTGAATAATTCCTGGTAATCTTAACTAAACACGAATAACAAAATAAATAAAATGTTTCAAAGTTGATAGTGTCATATTTATACCATAAAAATGTACCTTTTTCTCAATTATTGTACATATTTATTGTTTTTATCTCATATAGATAAAATGAAACATGCTATTGTTGGGTTTTTTTCGAATTGTATGTTTATATATGTATAATAATAATCAATAAATTTGAGAGTTGATCTATGTTTATTAATTATTGTAGCCAAACTAAGTGACAAACATTCATTTTGGAAAAAAAACTTATTTATCTGTAAAATATCTGTTCTGTTCTGTAACGATATCAAACATCTACTCCAAAACCGAGAGAGACCGGACAATAAACGTGTGATACTATTCGCCGGTCACTAGTAAACCCCGGTCAAAATAGACCGGGAGAGACCGGGAATTACCGATAGCAGTACATCCCTCTATGAATGTTAAGGTCATCAACTCATCATTCTATTTTAACATACCATAATAACCCACTGTGTAATACAAAATGATAAATAAAAAAAACGAAGAGACGTAAAAGGTTATTTCATGCATTGCGAAATTCTCCAGTTCGCTATTCATTGTATTATTTTTTTAATCAAGCACTCTCATACCGATCGGAATGATCGGCTTTTATTATGACCGACTATTAGGCTCGAGAAGTTGCTGTCGCCCTTTCACAAAATCTGATTTCATTCCATAAGGGCGCCGCGCTTCGGCGCAGACGCCAATCAGTTTGGCAAATATTATAACCAGTGTTGTTCAGTGTTACTGAATAACAATAATTAAACGTTGATTACTCGTTTGTGAAATTATTTTACTAATTCTTCCTAATATTTCTTCCTGTGCAATCAATGAGTAAACTAAATCACCTCACAATATCCGGTACATGATACGGGCGGTTTCCATAAAGAAAATAAATCATATTTCACCTAAAAAGATATAAGACTTTTAATCAAGGACAGAATAGATAACAACACAAACATAGGATAATGGTCATTGCATTGTTTCATACAAATCATTGCTAATAGTAAAAAAGTATGTGGAGTTCCTAAATCCATGGACAAGACCTCTGTACACAGCCTGCGAAATAATCTACCACTTTGATTATCTACAAATTATTGAAACAAACGCAAAATATTTACTTGTCCTTCAACAATAATGACTAATGTTTCCTTATGTAGTAAATTAACCACCACTTTCAGACTGGGTGGATTGGTAATACGAAATGTAATTTTCGGATGGCAAATCTACTTCCCTACAAATCCATATTACAGTCAGTCGTCCCTGCTAAGATATGAAATATATATCAGGAAAAGTGATCGCTCTAAAAATTGAAACAAAATTACATGAAAATTGCAGACTCGGTTCGATTGAGTCTGTTCATGAGAGTGAATGAAATAGTGCAACATCCCACAGGCCCACTAGCACCGACTTGAGCGGTACTCAATTTTAAACACTTATAAGTGCTTAACTCAATGGTCCCAAAGGACCACAAAAATATAGCAACACTGATGTGAAGTACGGGGTAACTTTTTACGGCAGCCACACGTCATTCAACCTGACAACTCTATCTCTTACCCCTCGTTACACTAAATATATTATTATATATCATTATTATTATACTTTTTTGACAGTCATATATAACTTTCATATACAAACATATCTCCATTTCACATCAATATACAGGCGACATTTTATTAAGAGACCACTCAAGGGACTGCCAAAAAGTGGTCTCTTAATAAAGTGGTCTCTCAATAGAATTCTGGAAAATTCGAGACTTTTTTATTACAAGTCAGTGTTTTTTTCACCAAAATATTCAGCGAAATTCTCCCCATTCCCCCCTCAAAAAGGTATGTTTTTTCCCCCCTCAAAGCTGAAATTTCCCCCTATAATATGGCAGCCCAAGTTTGCCTGCAATGAATATCATTTTTTTGCAACTAACTGCCGAAAAATGCTTTATTTTATGCCTGTAAGACTTACTGTTAAGCAAGGTCTTTCATATAGGTAAGGGGAGCTACTCCTGGTATCCCAACAAGTTTATCATGTGACACATCAATATTTTAGATTCGTATAAAAATCCCCCTCCTATTGCATTTTTCCCCCTCCAATGGGCACCGACCCCCTTCCCCCAAAAGTGAAAAAAAAAACACTGCAAGTCATAGATATAATAACATCTTTTTTATAAAAACAAAAACTATTTATATATGTATTACAGTTTATAATTACATTTATGCCTTTTTTGAATAAAAGCCATCAATATTGTTTGTTTTTGTTTTTTAGTAGAAATTTGTGTACAAATGTGATCTACGCTCATAGTACTGTCAACAGGTAATTTTGACCATGAAACAAAGCATATCGTCTTATATTTTTAGTATGTGCATACATATCTCCTGCTGAACATACTTTCGAATCATAAGCCGGAGCTCCAGCTAATTTTTTATGCAATGAGTTTTAAACTTCTTGATTTGTTCAACAATTAGTTTTCACACTACCCCGATTTCAAATTCAATAAGATTTTTTGAGATCTAGGATTTTTTTGTCTTTTTTTTGTCGAAGGGTCATATTTAATGGGATACTACATGTATTTTATAAAGCATCAGATCAGCACTTACACCATCAGCAATGAAAGGCTCGGTTCTGTAATGTTTAGTCCACTACATTTCACGACACGCGATGATATTTGCTATTTACTCAGACTCAATTCCATGCACGATTTCCTCATACAATTTATCCGGTCTTATTAGTTGTCTGTCATTTTTTCGCTCGTTCCGACGTCATTTTCGATAAGGGAGGTCACTCTGAGCACATGACAAAACTATGCAAATGCGGTGTTGTGATACGTTATTGCTCTGACAAAATAATTTTATGTCACAATAAATATTACGATCGGAAAATCCGATTTTAAAACGATTGCAATTGTTATTCATTTCGTTTTTAAACGACAATCGTTTGTGACCAATGACCATGAAAAATATTTGTTTGTTTGCTTGTACACATCACACCTACTCGCTGATTACACAGGTGAGAATGCCCGTAGGGACGATTGTTTGTCACGGCCGTTTAATAGATACTTTAACACTTAATTTTGTACATTTTGGGCCGACATTTAGTGGCCGCTGGCCGCGATATAAAATTGTCGTTTAATGGAATTAAATTATATAGTAAAAATCATCGGGAGGGATTTTATGCGGCCGCTTAATAAAAAAGTCGCTTAATAAAGGTGGACGCAAGTACGATGCCGACTGTATAATTATAACAAATATTTAGACTAACTCCGGAATTATTACTTTTCGGTTTTTTCCCCAGCTAATCCGTGTTTACACAAACAATCATGTACAGTAACATCTTCAAAATAGCGCGAGAGATTGGCGCGTATTGCACCGTGAAGCTTCAGATAAGCTGGGAAAAAACACATTTGTCTAGTTCCGGATAACATCTATTTCCACAATATCACCTCACTATTGCTTAGTATGTTATTATTTTGAATCTTCCACGTATTAAATACAAGATTTGACAAAAGGTTTAACAAAAAACGTTAACACTAAGTAATTTGAACGTAAAAATGATTGAGATAAGATATCATACCAATGTATCGTTAACGCCTATTTAATGCTGGTCTTCATTTAACAAGAAAAAATATGCCAGACTACAGACTGTGTTATTGAATTACAAGAGCAGTGATACAAAAACTGAGATGTGCACGACTGACCTTTAGCTTCGAGAACAGTTCATGTAATAGATTCCGTACGAGGAATAGGTCTACATAGTATTTACAGATTAACTCATCATTTATTCATATTAATCGCAAGAAACTTATACTTAATGTACTTAATCATGGTTAATTACAAAGCTACTCATCAAAGATTCCAACCGCAACGTTCTAGCAATTTATTGACGCACTAATTTGGTTTTTCGTAGGTTTCTATTACTAGCACGTAATAAGTTAAAAAGATATATTATTTTAACTGTTTTCAAAATTGATTTTAAAACGCTTGTATCGAGAATATAGTTGACAATACTCGGTCAATAGAAGAAGGTCTTTGGAGACCGGTGACCCTCAAATACAGAAGACCGGAGAGGGCCGATTATATGGTCACACGTCTGTATCATCCAGACGTTTCAGATTTGTCTTTCAACGACTTGATGATACAGATTACAATAATAGTTTCATGTTTACATTTAATTGGTTTTCATATTTTAATTGCACTTGAATATTGCTTCATAAAGTCGTTTGAAACTACCATATGTGCACGATGTATCGATTTTATTAAAACGTCTGTAACCGTTATTAACCAATCATGTATTGTTAACATATCACTTGCTCCTCCATGTAACGAAACAGGGCTCATGCTCCTCCATGCCTAAAAATAAGCTGCATACTAATAAGGTGATATAGATATACTGGTTTAATTGTACAAAAAGAAAGGAAACTTACTACTAGTATTATGATTTTCTATCAGCCGTATTGCTAATTCATTTTTTTTTAATTTGACGAACATGCACTTTAAACTATACATCGGTCCTATAACTATTCAAAGTAGTCGTTTTCCCCATAAATTTGAACAATTTAGCGTTATTTTTGCACAATTGTTTCAACAGTCCTGTGTTGCATGATATAAATGGAAATTATAATGTCATGTTAATCATATTATGTATTATAATAAAAACAGATAATGTAACATGAGAACTGTTTCAGATAGTTTTGGTCTTTTGAATTCTAAATATTTTTTATATTTTTAGCTGATTCCACTGGTGTTCAAATTTCCGACCTGACACTGAATTACAAGTTATGGAATAAATTTGCATTTTCGTGTTGCAGTACAACATTTCTTTAACATTTTTTTAGAAAAAAATAATAACAATTAATTGTCGTCATTCCGTTCCTCAATTATTCAACATCACATTTCAATCCCACATTTCAGTAAAATGTTCAAGTAAAATACATAGCTTTCTAGCTGAATAATTGGGACGTAAAACTGTACATACATATCTCAAGATTACTTCATGTTTATATAATAGCATTTAGCACTAGATTGTTCAGACTTTTCCAATATCGTAATAATGTTTTTTTTTAGTTTTGTTGTTGTTGATGTTGTTGTTGTTGTTGATGATGTTCTTGTTCTTCTTGTTATCTTAATTAACCAACTCGTTCCTGGCTTTATATAGTCTTTGAAAAACACAAACCAGAATTCTACGGTATTTATTTTGATTTTGAAACCTTATGAAACCGTTTTATTAAAAAAATGTTTAATACTTGAAATGCGAACTAGATTTTTCATTCTAATCTAATAAAACGAGTCAGTGTTTATTTCTCATAAAACCAAACATATCAATAAACGATTCTATTTTTAAAAATGGTCAATATTTATAAATGATAGATTCAGAATGTTCTAGATAATTTTGCATGATATACAAAGCTATACTAACATCTTTGCACCTCTCTCTCATTCACCTTGGAACGTGCATGTCTTGGAGAGACATAGGACATCGGCAGAAGATTTGAAGAACTTGGGATGGTGAAAATTAAGTTCAGAACCTGTTCCTGTGGACTAGCTGCCGATGACTGGACTGAAGTCGTAGGTCCTTGCAAAGTAGGCTGATACGTCGAGGAAGGGTTCTACTAGAGTTGGCTTGAACGGCGATGCCCTTTGTTGGCAACAGCATGACATTTTCATATTGTCTTATCTTACTCTCTGTTTAGATCTATGTTCATTGACCGCTGTAAAGGGACCTACTTTAGCTCAGTATAATTCATATGTTTACCTTATACTTTGTGGATATTTCAATGAGGTAAACTATTATCTCTTTGTGTTTCAAATTAACACTTTAAGGGCATGACTGGCGATATGTTCGAAGTGAGTACTCGACACAAAAAAAGTGACTTATGTGCCCTAACGTGCGAATGGGACCCTCATCACACACATATACACACACCATACACACATATCTACTGACCATTCTGAACGATGTATCATCTCAAAAAGTGATATTATATACGATGTAATCTAACAGGACATTCACATGTTATGTAGTTTTACCGATAAAATTATAAATTTTACAGCGTGTTTATATCATGAGATACCGTACAACATTGTGTCCTATCACATGTTATGTGAACTTTATTAAATGCTGCATATTGGCCTTATTCACTGTTGGCAGAAAACCATCGCGACGTTTAGGATACAAGTTTCAATAGCGGTGGATTTAGACGTATATTTCTTTGTTAGACATTTTATACATTCAGCTATTTAAATCGAAAGTGGAGGTATTAAATGACGATATTTAACCAAAAATAGGTCGTAATTAATAAAAATGGCAACAGGAGGTTGTGAAGTCGCATTGGATGCATTTCTGGATTTTCAATGTTTAACTTGCACAAACAAAGTTGGTGTGAAGTATTGTGTTGAATGTCAAGGTTACTGTTGTCAATCTTGTGTCGACACACACTCGCGATTTCCGACATTAAAATCTCACACACTACTTGACCGATTAACTGATGCAGTACAAGGATTGTCGGTGACATTGCCGACGGAGATATGTGCTATTCACACCACCATGTTAGTCAACATGTATTGCAAAGACCATGATGAGGTGGGCTGTTCAACATGCAAGACAATGAATCACAGGTAGTTTATAAAGGATCTTTTAAATTAAGTATAACCGTAATGTATTTTTATATAGCGATTTTAATCTTAACTAAAAGAGGAGCGGTGACCAAATGGATAAGGTGTCTACCTCTCAACCCAGGGATCATGGGTTAAGCCCTACATTTACATGTAAGTGTTTCAGTTACCAACTACTTTCTGGTTGGTAGTTGGGTGTTCACACAAAGAACAAACTGAGTCCTCTGGTCGATTTATGGTGAAGTGGTGTTACCATATTATAGAAAACACATAACTTATTACATAACCGTAACATTTGTTTCAAAAATACTTTCTATATTCAGAGGAATATATGCAACATCCGAATTACCAACTACCTTCTAGTAGGTAGTTGGGGATTCGCGCGATATATATCAGTTGTAGAACAGTTATATTTATTCTGAAAAGTTCTGTCTGTTTTGAGGGGTAAACCATGCTTAGTTTGAATTACCATTACCATTTGGTAGGTAGCGCGGGATTTGCGCGAATTTTTCAATGTATATCATAAGCATAATAATATTGGCAAGAAGAGATGATAACCAAGAGATGATTATATATATATATGATCACTAGAATGCAAATCACAGGGTCTTCTGTCATTTTTTCCTACTATATATAGAGAGGTTTTATAAAATAAAGACAGATTTCTCTGTGGTGTAAACAAGTTTCTTTTTATTTTGTGACCTAGTTTCTGAACTGAGATAACCCATATCCGAACGAAATTTTGTTATCATTGAAATAATCATTTTGAAAAGGTCAAAATGAAGATTAAGTGTAAAGTGTTTACAAGGTTTTAATTTTATATCACCTTATAACCTAGTTTTTAGTCCCCTACCGGTTTAACCGGAGGGGACTTTAGGTTTACCCTCCGTCCGTCTGTCTGTCTGTCCGTCTGTCTGTCCGTCTGTCAGTCTGTCTGTATGTCAGTCCGTCAGTCCGTCCGTCCACAAAACTGGATCCCGCGATAACGCAAAAAGTACTGAAAATTCTTTTATGAAACTTGATATATGGATAGATGGCAGTATGGACATTATGCACGTCTTTTTCTTTTCTTCCTATGTTGAAAATTCTGGTTGCTATGGCAACAAATAGTCTGAAAATATGGCAAATTTAACACATAAACTGGATCCAGTGATAACTCAAAAAGTACTGAAAATATTTTTTATGAAACTTAAAATATGGGTAGATGGCAGTCTGGAGATTATGCACATCTTTTTCTTTTCTTCCTATGTTGAAAATTCTGGTTGCTATGGCAACAAATAGCCTGAATTTCAAGATTTCTGATTTAAATTTTTCAGCTTTTTCACTATAAGTTCTTTATTTCTTAAGGTGTTTACTTCAAACTTTAAATATAAGTTTCTGGCCATCAACCACATCATATATGACAAGGTTTACAACTCTAGCACAAAAATTATCAGCATTACCTCCCTTGAACTTAGAATTTTTATGAAAAAAAATGTTGTCTTTTTTAAATAACTTCTTTATTTCCTAATGTATCTACTTCAAACTTCATATATATGTTTCTTATTATCACTCAACATTTTTGAGGAGGTTAAATACTCTAGCAAGACTATTATCAGAATTATCTCCCCCTTGAACTTAGATTTTTTTCGACTTAGATTTTTTATAGGATTTACTTTAAAATCCCACATTGAAATAATATGACAGGGTTGTATAAACATAATTTCCTTACTAGGCAGGGAAACTTAACACATTACTGTGATATAGACAAACTTAGAACTCAAAAGATTAAAGTTCATTAATGTCATTCATCCACTGGTAAAATTGAATGGCCAATGGCCCATCAGAATGTTGCTGGGGTTCTAACCGGTAGGGGACTTATGGATTGCTTGCAATACTATGATAATTGCTTGTTTTTTATTCAAACAGTTTCTGCATATAATTGCGTTATTTTCCCAAAAGAGCAGATGAAGATAAACCACGATCTCTCTGCCAACTTCATTGACTTGTATTTTTAATCATTTCTTTTTTTAAAACAATCATAAAGTTTAAAGTTCCAGTATAGCATAGTACAAAGACTAGTCAATATTTTACTTATAACTTTTATTGTGTGTGAAAAAATTCATTTTCTTGATTTATGAGTGTACTTCAAGCAAATTGTCTATTTTTTGTATTTATTCTACCTTAATTTCATAGCAACAAAAAAATAGAAGTAAATAAGTGTTTTGTACGGAGCCCCTAAGGTGACATTCTCGACACTTTTCCCCCGGCATTTAATTCGTTTTTACGAAATGTTAATTCGTTTTTACGAATAATTCGCATTTACGAAATATTAATTCGTATTAACGTAATATTAATTCGTTTTTACGAAATATTATTTCGTAATTACGAAATATTATTTCTTAATTACGAAATATTATTTCTTTATTACGAAATATTATTTCGTAATTACGAAATATTAATTCGTTTTTACGAAATATTATTTCGTAATTACGAAATATTAATTCGTTTTTACGAAATATTAATTCGTTTTTACGAAATAATAATTCGTTTTTACGAACTATTAATTCGTAATTACGAAACATTAATTCGTTTTTACGAAATCTTATTTAAGGTCATTGTGAGCTTGACAAAGAACCTATCAGCAATGTTTTAATGTTTGAGGCAATTAATCTTTTATGACATGTTTCTTCAAAAGAGAAACATGCTATATTATTCCTTACTTTTATCATATACATTAGTAAAGTAAACGGGCGAGGGGGGTCCAGACTTTCACTTATCTAATCAGTTTAAAAATGGTTGTTTTCTTTATTTCCTTACAATTCATGCATGGGCATCGTGCGATCATAAAAACATAATTTATCCTGCTACTGTCTATTTCATCAGCTGGATAAAGCCCTGCCGGATAAACTTATCTATCTCCAGTCATTACGTCATATGATGACATCACATGGTTAGCAGCAAAACAAAATTACATATAGATGCTATTTTACCGGGGAAAAGTAAGAATTAAACCATTTAATTAATCTAAAAACATGATTTAAAGCAGGATAAATTAAATACATGGTTGATGTCGGGATGGAGAAGGTTTATCCGGTTCGCTGCGAAAGTGAATCTTGGCTCGCTAAAGCTCGCCAAGATACACTTTCTCGCTCACCGGATAAACCTTCTCCATCCCGACATCAACCATGTATTCTCTATATTTTATTTCAAAACTCAATAATTTCGACAAAACGAAACAGTAAAAAATGTCCGTGTTTGGATTTGAAGCACAGGACCCCCATTTTTACTAAATTTTCCTAGCGCGTGTACTATCACGGCTGTGGCTCAACGCTAATGACAGGCGATTATTTTAATTTATATACAATAGTGTTAAGTTAAAACACTTGGGGAGAAAAATATCACTTTATATTGCATTTACGTTCCTTATATTCAGTCAGGAACTTTGTTTCGAGGCCTTATTTATAACTATTACAACGAATTATTATTTCGTAATAACGAATTATTATTTTGTAAAAACGAATTATGTTCCGGGAAAAAAGTGTGGAAAATGCCACCTTAGGGGCTCCGTAGTTTTGTGAGAATATCTTATTGTCTTATACTTTCAAACTTCCAGTGTTGCTTGTTTTAACATTTTGATATACTTGTACTTAAATATGTAGCTGATCTATTTTTAACAGAGCATGTTCAAATGTCCATTCCATCCCTGATGAGATCGGCGTGTTATTCGATGCAAACGAACTAGAAGACACGAAACGGTGTTTAGATAACAATGAAAAACGATTTAAAAGTATCGAACAAAAAAAAGAAGATGCTCTTATATGGTTAAAGATGTCAATAAAGGAAGCTGACACGGCGATCGACAATGCAAAACAAGAGGTTATTGACCATGTAGAGAAGGTTGCAAGCCAATCCAAAGAGGAAGTGGTGAGAAAATATCAAGCTGCGAAAGATCAGATTGAAAAAGACACACGTGAAGCAAATGAAACCATAAATGATTTAATGATGATTTCTAAAGGTTTAAGAAAATCAGAGGGTAACAAATCACAACAATTCGTTCTCATGAAAATTGCGAATCGAAAAATGAAAGAAGCCAACGAAAAGGGTATTCTCAAACATAACGGACAGGTAAACATCTCTTTTGATGTAAATTCTGTCATCCAGGATTTTATTAGTGACATCAAGAACTTTGGTAGAGTAAGCTGCCCACTGGGTATTAGACCTTACTCTGCTGAGACAATCAAAGATATGAATGTTAAGTTACAAGACGATAAATCAACTTGTAATATATTTGGATCGTGTTTATTAGAAGATGGGACGCTTCTATTAACAGATTACAATAATAAAAGACTCAAGCGTGTGAACATTGAAAATATGACAGTTGATGGCTTTTGTAGTTTTGACAAGAATCCCTATTGTGTATGTTGTACTAGTAAAGTCGAGGCCGTCGTTACTTTCTACAGCAGTTCAACGTTTATTCAGTTTGTCACCGTTGGTGCACAACTGACACCTTCAAGAAAAATAAACATGAATCATAAATGTCTAGGGATTTCCTATAAAGATGATAAACTTTATATCGCCAATAATGCCCAATCGTTATATATACATGATATGTCTGGTAACGAACTACAAAAAATATCAACAGACAGCACAGGTAGTAGTTTGTTTAATGATGTCCGAGAAATTTGTATTCAGTGATTCTATACGAGGTGGTGTAGTTGCAGACTGGAATAGAGGTGTTATTGTTCTTGATGATCAGTATCAGCGCATTGCTGGATATTGTGATCCCGAGTTGAAAGGTGTATCATCAGCATGTACGGATGGTAAAGGAAGCATCTTTGTTTGTGGATATAATTCACAAAACGTACTACAGATAGGATCTGATGGCCAAAAGATTAGTGATGTGGTTGACAACTCACATGGAATACAATATCCCGAGTCATTGTGTTTTGATTCAAGCAGGTGTCGGTTGATTATAACACAAGGCTGCAGTGACATTGTAAAAATTATTCAGATGAAGTAGTCAGTGAACTTTACAAAAGCAGATAAAAGAAGCTCAGTGACTTAGTATCTTTCTTAAGTAGTGTCAATTTTATGTCTTGCAAATTTAATAATAAATTAAGTAGACTCAAAATTGTATACATGTATATGTTTATAATTTATATAATGACATTCTTTTAAGATTATGCAGACTTAATTTGAAAATCAACCTTTTAAGCTTGAGCTTAATCTGTTTTCACACTAATAAAATATGATGTATGATAATGAGAAAATATGTTGTTAAAGTAGCTTAAAAGTAAAAAGTAGCATACCATTTTTGCATTGCATTGAAAAATACGTACTTTTTCACCAGTTCAATTATAATGCATAATTGGACACTTTAGTCTTGTTTTTCATTTTCCGAGTTTAAAAACCGTATCAAACGCAAAGTCTCGTTCGTTTTCATTTTCCGAGTCATCAAGTCAATTCTGAATTTTATTGGTCATCTGCACAGCTGTAAAACCTACTAGTATATTTGACGAGGAAATGTGCTCAAAAATGTGTAATGAAACTATTTCACACCGATTGTTCTAAAGGAGTGAAACATGTATATATAAACACTTAATACAATACGTGTTTGATATGGGACTTTTAAACTAGGAAAATAAAAACGAGGCTTGATTGAGTGCAATATTGTACTCAATAGTGTGTAATATCCACATACTATCATAAGCCTTGTAAACAATTAGAATGGATATCACCTCTTTTGGTGTCTGTAATTGTTTTAATAAACTTAGGAATGATTAAATTCAACAGAATACATATATTTCGTAGATGTAAATACGTAATGTAACGAAAATAGACGAATTATTACGAGCTGTTGAAGCTTGGAATGGTTTGGTTAATGCAACTGTTCCAAACTTGCAAATAACCATTGAGAACAACTAGAAATAATGAGGGGCTTTTTGCATCACATACTCGTACTTAACCATTACAAAAATTACATAAGTTTTACTTTGGCTTTTTCTTACCATTTTTAAGTTAGACAAAAGATGAAATATGTTTAATTATTTTAACTTATGAAATATACGAGGGGTGATCCAAAAATTCGTGGATACCCTGCATAAAACAAAAAGTAGTAAAGCAAATCACATGAAATTCTAGAATCTTATTAAGTGAGCATATGTTGGCAAATTCTCAAAATATTGTAAAAATTGTACAAGAATTAACGAGTCTGCACCAGTTTATATGCATAGACATGACAAAACGCGGCGCAGCTCACGACGTCACAAACGACGTTATGCTATCATAGGAAGTAATCTACGTTACCGTTTTGCCTTATAACTTTTCAAAGTATTCCCCTTTAAGGTATTAGGACCCTAATGGGCACTATCAGGAACTAAAAAATTGACATCATAAGTCAGATGTATACCTTAAAGTACACCTGTATGCAAAATTTAAACAAAGTTTACCGTACGGAAATCAAGTTATGGCCACTTTTCTGAACTCAAGCTAGGATGTTATGAGGGCCCTTTTTTAGAAAGTAGGAACCTTTAAATAATCTTCAATAATATTCTAATGAAAAATGTTTTTCCATTAATTTTTGGTAAGAAACAAATAGTACCATTCAGCTAACAATCCAATTAAGCAAAATTATGGTTTCTACTAAAAATTTATGAAATCTGTATAAAAATGTTACCCTTCCCCACCTATTTTTACCACGTGTTTGACCATTTTTCTACTTAGGGAGCCTAATTTAAAAAATTCTTAAAATTTACCCAAATGAGAGCCTAAGTTTCCCTAAATTTTTAAAAAAGTATATTGGTTGATCTTGTAAAATATGAAATACTTTTACCGTCTAGTTTTGATTATATTACACTTTGAAAATATCAGGTACCATATTTATCACTAGATTTAGCATAATTTAGCCAATAAATACCTATATAAATTAAAAAATCAAAATTAAACACTTTTTTTCTTTCCAAATGGGACATGAGAGATACATAAATAATGTTAAAAGAAAAAAAGAAGAAAAAAAAGTTGACCCTTCTGGGGATTGAACCCATGGCCCTCATTTTCAATGTAGTTAACAGTAGTTCTAACCTATTTGAATACTCTTCAAAGCGGAGGTAATGCATTAGGGTGCTAAAACCTTAACCCGCACACATTTTTCATGGCGGCGGATCCAGTCGCTAAATTTACTCGCATACCATTCCTGGCTGAATGATGACAGTATGCATTGGGTGACTCCTCGTATTTTGTTCCGTGTAATGACACAAACATTTAATTAGAATTATCAATATTTTCCAAACAAGATAGAAAACTTCCTTATTTTGTGTATTTGTTTCTTCAGGTAACAAACATCAAAAATGCTCTTAAAACCATTTTTTAGACGTTGTTAAACTTATGTATGCCCTTTCTGAAGAAGGGAAAAATATTTCATAAACTTACGATATAATTGATAAGCTGCAAGAATATTCCTCAAACGATGACTGACTGTAGGACTGAGTAAAGAAAGGTAACACCTTGACTGGGGCAGGTGCTATATTCAGACAGACAGTGATAACGAAAATAACAGAAATGTAAATGCTATAATGAGATAAGAATACATGTATGATGATAAGGGAGAATAAAATAACTTGTATATGATGTATATAATGCACATGCACATGATAACAAACCAAAACAAAAAAAGCAAACAAAAAATATAAAATATTGATTATTTTTGCTCAAGTTTTGCAAAGTTTGTCCTAGAAATGATGTGCGTGCGTGTGCGTGAACGTGCGAGTGCATGTATGTGTGTGTGTTATCGAATGATACACACACTTTTTTACACACTACATGTAATAACAATAATTTAAATAGACAATGTGATCGTTATCTGTTACAACTATTATCGGAGATTTTATGTTGACAAAATACCACCATTCTAATTCCCTTAATTATTATATTTGTTTAAGTTACCAATATTAAAAGTTATTTATAAAAACAATAGTAGTAGTAATAATAATAATGCTTCTACTTTATTTAGAAATAAGACATGATATATATCCATATTTTACATAACTGAATACATTAACACACATCAAATTGTAATCAACAATATGATATATTCTGCAATCACCTATAAAATATATATGTAACTGATCTAAATTCACAATTTTTTGTTAACATTTATCTGCAAATAAATTATATGTTCTTGTTTTAGATAGGCCATGTAGTAGACTTATCCAATTATGAATAAAAGCATCAGTAAGTCCTCCTTTAAAATTTTCAAAACAATAATTCCTACTCCTTGAAACAACCATACATAACTAAAACATTTCAAAAATATTTTAACAATTCTTTACCAGATTTAGCCCAAGAATTTCATCTTAAACATTTAACGTTAAGCAATATATTTGTTTTATACTTATTTCATCTCTTTCAGTTACTTTAAACCACTAACGTACAACACGCACCTTCTAATTGCTTATAACATAACCTTGTGCGGCCCAGTTCACCATGTATAAAATAATTGTAATTTGGGAAATGTTTGCAAAATTGTAAAGGAACTCGTTGTATTTTTTCTGAATTATTGAAATATATCTCACTTCCATATTTTAAAATGGTAAATTATGTCTATCAAATAGATTTAAATAATGGCTTTACGTCAGACAAGGGAATTCACTAGATGCAATTTTAATTTGAAGCCTGGCCACTTAATATTCAACATGTTGATAGAAAGAAACAATCCATGCCGAATTAACTATCTAAATACGAAAAAAAGTTACCTCAATACATGCATTAGCGAAGCTACAACAACAAAAAAACACACAAACCAAACAATAAAAAAACACCAAAAAAACAATGATTTAACCAAATAATCTACACACACGCAAAAAGTTTGCTTGTCGAGCACTAGAATCTTTTAGAAAACAACTTGACAGTCGGTTTGAATACACTGTTACACTTTACCGGCTACATAGAAAATTAAGACTTAAGTATAATATGCAGTAAAATATACAACTAATCGTGCACTGCATGAGTACGCACTAAATATGTAAATTACAAAGTCGTTTATGAGATAAAATAACATATATATGAACGGATTAAAATATTATTTACTCCTTTCAAAGGATTATCTATTTATCCAAATATTTCACTGTAACTGTATTAATCTAAAGAAGGATTAAAATCCGAATGGATCAATCTGTGTACTTAATAATGTGTAAAGAAAGTTTGTGATGAAACATATTTCTGTTTAATTATGAATATTATAGTCAGTGTAATGAATATATGGTTCGTTCGACACTTGCTGAAGAAACTTTATTATTAAAAGCCTCTGTTACGTACACCAGACGAAGCACTACGCTCTTTGCTGTTTCTCCTATTTTCTACGATTCGATTGTTAAAGGATCGTGAAGGAACGTCAGAATTTCCAGGAATATTGGCATGTAGTGCTTTGTATTTGACTGCAAGGTAGACAGCAATCGTAACAACAGAAGATACAAGCAACATTCCGCCTCCATATCGAAATTTTTTCTTCCAGACATCATTGTCCTCCTCATTGTTCATCGTTCCTAAAAGTTCGAAACACGTACGTAACATTAATATTCAATCTTAAAAGTACGTAACATATAATCATGTACAAAATCAGTTTTTGAAAAAAAAAGTCAACCATTTCCATAAATTTGTCTTTTATATTAAATTAACATTCTATATAACGAGGCATTTGATAATTTATTTGATAAGAAAGACACAATTTCATTAAATCAAGTTAACAAAAACAGCAATAAAATGTGCAACGCCTGTCACACCCCGTATCACCAGTATCAGGAATGTTAAGCCCTTAGCAGTACAATGTGAAAGCCTCACCTTCAATTTCACGGGTTATAATTCCACCAATTCCGGTTGACATGATTATGAATCCTTCAACGAATTTTGTATTCTCCCTCCCGAAAACTTCCGGAACAGAACTGTCTCTGACGCCTTCACAAAATGCTTATTAAGAGAAAAAGAAATCAATATAAGATCAATAAGATAATTGCACTAGTTGACGTAATAATGAAACATCAAAAGCTGTATGTGTTTTAATCGCTTTTTAAATGTAGCACAATAATTGGGAAAAAATGAAGGAACGCGCTGATATGTCTACAATTCAATAAAACATTGTGCAGACATTTTCACAGGAGATCTAATGATATACTTTCAGTTCTTTGACGATAATCGTAAGTCAAATTTGAAGTCCTGTTCACAAAGCCATTGGTAAGTTCCAATTTTATCTTAAGATAAAAAATTCGCTTACGATAATTCTTACGATAAGAAATGTCCGTAGCAACGTTCATTTGATATTGATGCGTATGCGCTATATTTGTTTCCGGTTTTAAAATCAAGTAATGGAGAGCTTGAAATATGTATTTTACACATACAATTTAACAATGTGAAGAAAAAACTTTTCAAACAAACTGATCATGATTGGCTAATCATGATATTCATGATATTCATGCTATCTAAACTATCTATAGACCAAACTTTTATATAAAAAAATAATATAACTGGCGTATTTTACAACAAAAATAGAAAGCCCTGTACCAAGATGGCTCATATCGATCACCTGGTTTAGGATATAAGAACCATTTTCATGGTATGAAAAGGCCAATACATTCTATCGCAATTTTATTCCTATTCCGGGCTTATTTTCAATTTGGAAAAAACACAATAAAATACGTTTTCTTTTTATAATTGGCATAGAAAATGTACATTCAAAATAGATCATACTTTCCGGCATTTCTTACGTAAGAAAGAACAGGCTAGACAACAAAACATGAAAATCACTGTCTAGACAAGAAAACATCTACCAAAGGTATATCTTTGCTATAAGTCATTTCCCTTTTTACTTTTACTACACCAGATTTTTATACATTATGTTCATTTGTATCTTATTTGCAATAAAAACGTATGCTTTTGAAATATTTGTATATGTATTTTCATAAGTCTATACAACATACGGAACAGACTCCGGGACAACGTATCTGGTTATGTATATTATAAGAATAAAACTCATACTGAACTTATTAGTGTAACGGGCCACTGGTATCTTTCACGTACAATTATTTACAAATGTGTTACTGACCGTTGTCAATCAAATTTCTTATAGATAGTTGGGGTTTGAGTTAGAAAATTAAATGGGTAAACATAAGATCACTCGTACTCAAAATACTGAATATCATAAACACTCAAGTGAACGAACAATAAAATAAACAGACGGAAAGTAATATAGCATGGAGTTTGAAAGACGAGAAATATTTAAAAAAGCTGACAAAAATTTACTATTGGTATATTTACATAACTGTCTGTAATTAAATTGGTATCCCGGTTTATAACCGGACAAAGAAGAAGACATTAAACCTAGTCCGTAGAGTGCGACTTTTTAGAAATATATAAATTGTATAGCCTGATTTCTTTCTTATACATGTATATACAATTTTTATTGTATTCTTATATGCAACGGAACAGGAACATTTAAATGACTATGATTATAAACTTACCTTTTCATCAAAATAATTCAAAAATATTAAAAAAAATTGACATCTTCAACATATTACGACAACAAGTGGTTCATACAAACATAAAATACTCAAAGAGTTTCAAAACAAAGATTTTACCAATAAATGTTGAAAACAGTAGATGAAATGTTGTGAAATATTCAAAGTTTAAAAGATCTGGAGCAATAAAACACCCAGTGCTTGAGAGAACAGTTGAAGCCGCCAAAATACCGAATATGATATAAAGTCGTTTATCTTCTAAGTTTTGAATATAAAACCTGGAAAGATTCAAATAGTAACATATATTCATAAATTGAAATACCTTGACATGATCATAAGCAACATGACCTTCAAGACTGACGAATCCGGATTATCAAAGGAAAAACACTATAATGTAAATTTGTACTGTGAGTTTTACTGTAAATTAAGGTATCTTAAATACTTTTTGGAAGTATTTTTGTATTGTAACGTATCAATCATGATCATGTACACATTTGTGAAACTTTGCAACAAAAAGACATTTTTAATTTGATTACATTTTTGTACCCATCCCGATTGCATCATTTATGAATGTCATTATACATGTATATGATATATTAATAGAATATCGCTGTTTGAGCAAAGTTGAATATTTCTAATCATTCAAAAAAAAATTCGCTTTTTACCTGAAAGGAATAGATTTTGCAAAGGTCATATTTATGCTTTGTTACTCATAACACAATAAATATCGGAATATAACTAGCTTTCGACGACGATTTATTATCGATATATCACCGTTCATTTGTACTCACCGACTTTTTTCTTGAAATGCCATTTTATTAAATAACCATGCCAAAAACGTCCCAAGAGCCAAACCGACAAAGGGACATAAGGCATAGGTCAGTGTTTTAGAGAGGCTGTCACCCAAGTCAAGTTTAAACAAAGACGTCGACAACTCTGCTTTGGGTGTTTCAATACCTGCAAATTTCAAAGATCAGTATTTTACATGAATTACTTCAGTATAGAGTTCTTTTATTGTAATTGTTTTTCATAGATATAAAAACGTCAAATAAAAACCTTCTTGTATAAGGACTATTCGAGAACAGCAATCATTGCAACTTGCACTTAACTTGAAACATTTTCACTTAAAAAGTTATCAAATAATTTATCAATGGAAGTATTATTTCACATCTAGAACTTTAAGATGTATTTACCCCACTGGTAGAAGAAGAATACAATACAGGTGAACCGAAACAGCTTATTTTTGAGAATGCCTTTCTTAAAAAGTCCAAAGGTTCTCTGTACAAATGTTGCTGACTCGTCATCTCTCATAGTGAGTTTGAGCTCTTTAAGGGTCATACCAAGAAGCCCTATACCAACACATATCCCTGTAGAGTATCTGTATATAACATTAGATTAAATGATACAGATGTGTGAATAATGAATTGATTTATGTAAATAAAATCACTGACAGACAAAAGGTCGAGTAATAATTAAACCAAAACGGTACATTAAAAAGATACCTGTACAATATATCTATTTTATTGTTGAACAAAATTCTCCTATAATTCATTGTTCAGCATTGTAAAAAATATACATGTATAAACTATATCCATGTACTACATTATTAAATGTTTTATCCCTTATTGTTTTTTATTTTTAGCTGGCAGCCTTTCATTGCGATAAAACGATAGTGTATTTTGTATCGAAACCTACACTTTCAATTATTTATCAAAGAGATCATATTGACCTTTTCTTTATGCAGTATATGTATAACATTATTATGATGAATAGCATGTGAATATGGCTTCCACATTAAATTTAACTGTGTCATATGTATACTTGTTGGCTATGGTAATTACGGATAATCAGTCAAGAATTCCGATCCTTTACCGCCGAATGACAAATTCGCAAATGTCTGAAAATTGTTTCTACAAGTAAAAATAGATATTATAATAAAAATAGATAATATTAATTTATTTAAAGCACAAAAAAAGGCCGTTGTGTGATGTATAGAAGAAGTTTGTTTGCGTTATTGTTCAAGTGCACAAACAGCCAGGTATTTTTTATTTCATGCATTAAATTAAGACAAAAATGTTTTTTCTCGGGAAACAGAATCACGAAAAGAATATGACGTCAGATGTTTAACGGCTGCGCCAACGTTGTTTGATCAAAAAGTAATGAGAAATAAAAATTACATTTTTACTTTTATAAAAACATTCGAGAATCCTAAAATTAAAAAGAAAACATGCCAACAATGATTTCTGAAAATACCCAGTATTTGATTGGAAACCAAGTTCTTTTGTTTATAAACAGATATCGTTTCATTAGCTTCGCAAAGCTTCTCGAGTTACAAAAACTTACTATGGTTTACACTTCATATGTTACCTAAGTCTCTATAACTAATAATATTAAAGAAAACATAATCAATGAACGGCTGCAATACCGACTTTACGTGTATCAAATGCTCTTTATCCGACTGAAAAAGTCAAAAGATAATTTAATTTTTACAGTACCTTAAAGTATATCTCCACTTAGCTGCGATCTTTCCTGGCATTTTAATATCAATTATTATAGCGACTATATATCCAATGGCCAATCCCAGTCTCGAAAGAAATAAAGCCGCCATTCTCTTCGTTGTAAAATATTCCAAAACCGGAATTAACCCTCCAAAGCCAATGAAGCTGACCCCAATTGCTGAAATTAAATTTATATTCAAATCCATAAAGAAGTAGAGGGAGAAACACGTTCAATAAATGTTACAACATCTTCGAAAGGTAAAATATATTGAGACTTTTAAATGAAATTATACAGGCCTTTTTGATGGAAGCACGTGTATTTCGTTATAACGAAAGTATTATTAAATGAAATAAAGAGTTATTTAAACGTTTAAACTAAATTTGGTGTAGATTTACCGTTTCTTTTGAAAGAAAAAAAAACATTCCATTAACAATCGTATGTCACTAGTGTTTTAGTTTTTATCATTCCTCATTTCAAGTGTCGGAACTTTTTTCCCTGACATTTTTACCTTCTGATGGTTTCTAATTCCATATTTTGCGTAGTTTGTCACTCAATTAATTATTTCTGTTAACTGCTTGTATGTCATGAGGACCTCCAGTCTGTCTAATGCAAGCCGTAGCTTCATATTCTAGAACTCTCGTTATTCACTTTATTTCTAACCGTTCCTCTTATTATTTCAAATAAGGAATATAATATCAATTATTGCCTTACTTACCAACTGGTCCATATATCAGGAATTTAAACAATCCTTCGTCATCTTCCAGGTATGAGAAGCGGATAAATGCTATCATTAAAAGACCAGCACCAATAACGACAGTCACACGATAACCACGAATTATCATTACAACTGCCGCAAGAGCATCTGAAATACACCAAAAAAACAGTGTAATACAAAGCCTAAAAGCGATGTAATTAGCCCTTACACTGAAGAAACTTAATCAAGTTGAATAAAATTTGTAATTTATTGAGAGTAATAATTATTAAAACGACGATTTATTTTTAATGGCAGCCATTTTGTTCTTGTATGACAATAGTTTATAGAAAACAAATCAATCATCAAATGACTTCATGTATTCATTGAAAATTCAAGATACTAGCGGAAGGCTAATGAAATGTAATGTCCACTCAGATTCGAATGTTATTACAACTGTTATTTTACAACATTGGTTTAAACTGAATTTTAAATTGGAATATTGTGCTCCGGCAACAATTAGCCAATCATTTAGTTTGTTAAAAGAAATGAATATCGTGCTGTTCATTTTTAATCTTAATCAAATGGTGGCATATTTCTGCTACCAGATAACCTGACAACTATCTAGTTAATTATGAGGTTCACTAGTTACGTAACTAGTTAATCTCTTGATTAAGAAGTTAGTTATCAGGTTAACTAGTAACCTAACTTGTTAATTTTTACAATTGATAAAAGATCATAACGGGAAATAAACGCATGGTTGTGCATACAACTGCCATCCTTTCATTATTTTACCAGCTCAATGTTAAGTGATTAACTTGTTACGTAACTAGTTAACCTCTCATTTAACTAGTTAGTTAAGAGGTTAGCTAGTTGTGTAAATACGTTACTAGTTAACCTCTTAATTAACTAGATAGTTATCAGGTTATCTGGTGGCAGAAATATTCCACCATATAATTAAATGTTACACCGAATGTTATATGAATGAAATAAACGATATTGAATTACGCCTACTGTATATAAGGATGATTTCTTGTAGCTGTATATTGGTACTTTTGGGCATAGCCGGAATACATTTTGATAATACAAACAGTCCTCCAGCTAATAATGCATTGATACCTGTACATGACAGTACTATAAGCCAGGCTCGGAGACCACCGTTTGGCGGATGTTGTACTGTAGATCCGTCCTCTGGTGGTTCGAGATCCATGCCGGAGTCATCCAAGCTTATTCCCTCCCTTGTCATATTCACATTGTCAGTGTTTGGTGAGTTGTAATCACGTGTTTCCATTTGTCTTAAGATAAGTAGTCCAAATAACGAGCTGTTTAATTCATACAAACAACAGGTTATTAAAAAATCAAAAAGCAACAACACAATGATCTATTTACAGCACATAAAAATCTTTAAACGTTTAAAAACTGTACGATTTTTTTTAAAGTTGCCCTCTCGCCTTATTAAAATTGCAGCATGATAAGAGAAAGTTTTTCAAGTTTTGGTAACTTTTGATTTGTTCATATATTTTAAGATATATGAAGCATTATTCCAACTCAAACAACGACCCTGTCCTGAATATATTCACAAAGTACATTTTCATTCAGCAATTTTGTATACAGAAAGCTATAAATCTAAATGCATATGAAATACAAGTTCTGATATGTAATTCTTGAGCAGTTTTATTATCAAATCTGGTCGAGTGAAAATATTGTTAAAACTTATATTATGAATATTTAATATGCTGAATTAGTTATATTTAAAAATATGTTTGAATTTTATGCAAATTTGTTAATATGTTTAGTTTCTTAGCGTATGTAACCCCGAAAAACCGTATCCGTTCTGTGTATTCATCCTTTTTTGTTCAAGCTTCTTATCCGAAATTTGACGGAAAGAGCCGAGATGATACGATTGATAATTAAATATGAAATTTCAAAAGGGCGACGAGAGTAAGTAAAGTTTTCTTGTATGAAATTTAAGACAAAGCTGCCGTTCAAGTTGCATTGATTGTCCAGGATACTGTTGACAACCTTGATTAGACATGCACTTGCATTGAAAAGCCACACACTGTTTGACTCATTATCCGGTAAAGTAAAGGGATTGTCAATCAAATTGCCGACGGAGATATGTTCTAGTCACACCATCATGTTAGTTGACATGTGTTGTAAAGACCGTGATGAGATGGGCTGTACAACATGCATGACTTTAAATCACAGGTTTTCTAATAAGGGATTTACTTAAGAAAAGTGTAATTTTTTTTTTCATTTATTAAAAGTCTTTGGTAAATGAAACTTAAATGGTATATAATGTTATATAAATATGATATGATAGGGGTCTAGTGTATAAAAATCTTTTTTAAACAAATGTACCTAAAGAGTCCTATAACTATGATTTTAAAATGACTATGAATATCCCATTTTATTCACCGATTATAAGATTTAACATTCTTTGAATACAAAGTGAAACATATATTATACACGTTGAACATTTCTACGGTAAGGTAAATACAACATTTAAAGTGAATGCCATAGATATAATATGTAACGGTATAAAATATCAACAGAATTTATCAAAGGTCACGTGTAAATGAATATCTGTGAGCTATTTTGTCAATCAAGCGAAAATTTGAATTGTGGCGTATTTGTATGGCTTGGGTTTTATATGCACATCAAAACAAACACAAGAAAAACTGGATAAAAGTTGTTTTTGCGCATCTTAAAAAAGATATACAAAGGACTTCTAATGTTAGAGGCGGATTGTAAACTGTTACCAATATTGATTCAGTATAAAAGGGCTTTTTTTTCAGTGGAAATAATTCATTCATTGATTAAATGAGAGTAAATTTCATTTCATTAATTAACTTTGTTTATATTTTTCATCATATTTATCTATTTATTTTATTTTATTGATTCTATTTTTTATTTTTTGCTACTTAGAATGTTCGTGACCTCTGCCCCCTTCGAGCCTCTGTGAAAAAATACATTGATATATACAAGGTCGGAAAAACTCAACTGCTATATAGCAATCGTTTTTTCCCCTATATGAAAATCAATGAAAAAACTGTATATAGCAGTCGAATATGTCAAGATACAGTCGGGATGTTTCTGAAAAAAAATTGTCTTGGCCTTGCCATTTTTTTTTACCAGAAATATTTCTTTATGTCTCCCCAGCCAGTGATATATCCTCGTTACTAATTCGTTTCATATATTATAACTGTTGCTTTTAATACATGAAACGAGTTAGATACGAGGATATAATACTGGCTGGGGCGACATCCCAGTCAGTGTTATATCCTCGTAACTAACTCGTTTCATATACACAAACTGTTTTATCGCAATAGCATAATGTTTTCTTTATTTGTAATAGAAATAAATTAATTAATTAATCGTTAGCTACATTACAGTTATTAACGATAACGCAGTTTTTTTAAAGTTTTTTTCGCTGCCGCCAAAAATAAAAAAGAAATACAAAAGTTATCAAATGTTAGAGGCGGATAGTAAACTGTTTATTATTTTATTTATTTTTCAGTGGAAATAATTCATTCAGTGGATGTACGTTTTGATTAAATGAGAGTAAATTTCAATTCATTAAATAACTTTGTTAATATTTTTCATTGTATTTATTTATTTCATTTTATAGATTCCATTTTTTTTGCTTCTTGGAATGTTCGTTTCCACTGCCCCATTGAAGCCTCTGTGGAAAAATACATTAGTAGATACAAGGTGCGAAAAAACTCAACTGCTATAATTTTTTTCCCTATATGAATCTATTCAATGAAAAAACTGTACTGCTATATATTAAAACAGTTTTCAAAAAAAAGATAAACAAGATCAACAAGGAAAGGCGGCGTTCAATGAACGCAACCCCCATACGACCCAGCAACAAGAACCAGTGACAAGGAGACAGGCGGACCCCAAACAAAAACAGGACAGGGCACAAGATAGAGCACGGACAGGTTAATCACTAAATGATAAATAATATAAATGCTCATTGAAGTGTTCTGAGTATAATTGGTTAGATAGAACAAACGAAAAGTTCCAAACCATGCGATAAGAAAACGATGTTGGCACCGAATACATAAACATGTCAGCAGTTATGAAAATTAATTAAATATTTCTCAAAAACAATCATATTTCATTACAATTTATGCAAACTTAATGATCAACATGCTCAAAATCAAAATTAACACCATCATTATCACTACTATAATTATCATCATTCCGGTAATCATGATGTCTTCAGCCATTATATTCATAATTACATCAAGAAACATCACCATCATCATCATCATAATTATAACGATCATCATCATCATCATCATAATAACCATCATCATTATCATAACTACGATCATATTCATCACTATCTTCGCAACGATTCTCATCATTATAATCAGAATCAAAATAAAGTTGTCATATAACAGTTTTTATTATCTTTATTACAAGCAACACGATCAGCAGGAATCGTCAACATCATTCATTATCACAACTTAGTACGTACTATCCTCCTCCTCATCATCATCATTGTCAAGGTCATCACTACGAACCTTATTATCATCATCATCACCACATTCATTGTCATCATAACTACCAGCATTACGATCCGCAAGAAACAAACAGGATGCTTAAGAAAATTGATGTAGAAAAATAAAGTTAAATGAGTCATTGATATCCTTCACTAAATGTTGTTTTTTATAGTTGGTAATGATGATAATGGTTGTAAGATTTGATCTTGTTTTTAATGATGATGGTCGTGATGGTGGTTGTGGTATTGTGACTGATAAGGATATTAAGAATACTAGTAGCGGTCATAATGATGACTATAAAAAGATCGTTAAAAGGTTTTTGTTAAACAGAGAGAACAGAATCCCAAGAAAGCCCAATACGGCAAAATTGCTAAATGTTGCAAGCTCGGTTGGATTGAGCCTGTTCATGGACGATATTGGAAATTGCGAGTTACCGTCCACACTCCCCATGACCGGCTTAAACAGAATTCAACACTTAAAACACAAAAAATGGTGAAATTTTGAATTTAGAAACATCCGCAGACGTGTTCATACGGCGGTTATCATGGGACCTTCAAGTGACTTAGTAGTGTCATTCCATGAAAAGTGGCGTATGGTCACCAAGTAAAAGATTGTGTGAGCCCTATATGAGAAAAAAATGGGCGCAATTAAATAAAATTGAATTTTGAAAGGGAATCTGAGGTTATGAAGCCTGAATTTCTCAGACAAGACGTCAAAAGACAAATTTAAAAAGCAGGCAACATATCCTATGTGTGATTATACAGTATTCAAGTAGGAATAATGTTAAGGTCATTATGGTGATAACTTGACTGTTTGTTATGTTGATGATGGCGAGGACAACTATAATGCTAATTATTAAATAATTATCTTCATAATTTGCGCGATTTAACTTTTCTCACAAACCGGATAGAAAAATTCGTAAATATTATAAAATTAAGCGGTGCTCGAAAATCTAATTTCTCATGGATTTTCTCTCTCCACGTGCAACACTTCTTTTTTTCCTATGTGTTTATACACATACGCAATATTCACTTATAAAACTTTATATGAAATAAGAGAGCTAGTCTAATAGAGTGTCAAAGGAGTCGAACTTAATTGATAGCAGCTTAGTGTAGCATAGGTACGATTTTTCTCCTAACGTCCTTTTTATAAAAATAGAATACTTTAAAATTACGCTGATATTTTCGTAAACTATACTATTGAGATTTTGTCATTGTAAACGTTCATTTTTAAAAAAGCACATTATTCCTCCGAAACGAATAAATATATCTTTTTTAGGAAAAGCAAATTTAAGTTTGATTACTTTTAATAAGTTATTTTAGAGCATTTTAGTTGTTATCACTTGAAGAGAGGAGTACTGAATCGATGTGACAATATAATCTAATTATTTGTCATAAAATTAGCAAAATAAAAATAAAGAAGTATTTTTAATTTCATACTTAATTTTTATTTACTATTACTTTATTTATTGCCAAAAATCGTTTTTAATGACACAAGAAGCAAAAGATGGTTGGACCTTTCCGGTGTTTACAGTTTTATGTAAATTGGCGAACTTGTTATCCAATCGCTACACTGAAATAATACATAGTCACTGGTTGACCTGGTTTGCACAAAAAAAACATGCTTATTGTTGTGATACTGTTTGTTAGGAGTTGACCTGGCAATGAATGAAAAAGGTGTGGCTAAATGTTCCGCTACGAAAAACCGCAAAGGTCCAAAGCCATAAAACTATAAAGGGCACTAAAATTAAAAGTGTTTCTGAGACATAATGGTATTTTATGAAAACAATGCTTTTTATTAACAAA